GCACGGCGCTCGGGGAGGGGTTCCGGCGGTGCTGCGCTTTTTTTTGCTGCTTGGGGCAGCAAAAAAAGTTAGAGCCGGCCCTGCTTACGTTGCAACCTTCCATCAATAATATTTTATGTATGTCTAACTTCTGTTTGTATATCATGAACATAAAAAGCAGCCTTTCAGGCCACCTTCATACATTCTAAAGAAGCAAAGAAATGTTGTTCCGCCTTCCTCCTCCCCCTCACTGTCCCTTTGCAGCTCACTCTCAATGAGGAGTGCCTGTTGCGCAGCATTAGCCAATATACAGTATATATTTGTAATGCGTATGGCACATCACACTATTATATATTACATGCACAACATTAATATTGTACGTATATCATATATGAAGATTGGGTAGTTAATGTAAGAAATATAATTGTGGATTGTGTTATCGTCCTTGGAACAGACAAATAAAAACGTGTCAGAAATAAAGTGTCTGAATGTATGTCCTGGTACCTCCAAGGCTCCCTGACACGTGGAATGTGGTATTGAAAACAAAGATAAGGAAGGTACAAGAAAACAAGATAAGAAACTATTACAAACTGGCGGGTTGAATCTTGGCTGACATATAGAAAGCTTTTAGTTTGTAAATAACTACAAGACAAATAAACACAAGTGGTCTGCTTCAAAAGTGTGCACTCAAGACTATGTAGGGTGAATATTGTGAGATTGCTTCTCTGAAAAAGTGGTATGTGTATCTCCTTTTCGTGCTGCACTCCTTTGTCTTCAATAAACTGACTACACTTGGCTATTTGGTGTCTCAGGTATTTTTGATATCGAACCGCTAGCGTAGTCAAGCATTTGGCCAGATCTAGTCAATAACGGGTGCTCTGCCATGCCTGCCTCCTATTTACCTGGACGCTCTCTGAATCTCTACAATGCTTGAACTAGGAGACTGGGATTTGGGCAGCCCACTCTTTACTGTGGTAGGAGTGAGCACATCTAAATGGGAGGTGGTGAAAACTGAAGCCTTTGGCCCATATTATGTCTGGCCCACTGTGGTTGCACGAGAGAGTCAGAGACGATAAAAGGCTCACACCCAATAAGTCTCTGTGCAGGCACGACACATAATCCAGTGTTTTTGCTGCCCCAGCCACCCCACAAAGGGATGCTTACACGGACAGTGGAGTTAATCTTCCCAAAATGAAGAGAGGAGAGGCCATGGTATCATGACAACTCCTCCACACCAGCCACCTGAGCTGGCTCTGCTTTGTGGAGCGGGAAGCACCTGACACACCCAGCAGAAAGATGAAGCAAGGGCCACCTTTGTTATTAACCCAGTGAAGGCAGGCACAGTGGAGCAGTGCCCCTCCATAGTAACCCACCGTACTATCTACCTGAAAGATATAACTTAGTCCTCCTTAGTCTGATGACTTGAAGCAGCTGTCTCCCCCAAAATTGGTCATCACTGAACTAAGCTAACAAACAGGCCCATTTTGGAAGGGATAGGTTACTTCAGTGTGATTAGTAGAATGACTTCCTGCTTTGGTTCAGCGAGTGTGCTCAACATGGCTGCTTTTAAAGGATAGAGGGGATGGTGCCTGTTAGAGTTCAGTGCCACAGAGGGGAAAAGAAAAGTGGACGGTGCCTTTTTGGAAAATTAAGATTTGGTTATTTTCCTTGGAAAGCAGAAAAGGAGTGATTTGTTGTCCACTGCTCTTTCCAAAGTTTGTACTGTAACTAATGAGGTTCTTCTGGCTATAAAGGAGTGTTCAATAACTCAGCCTCAAAACCATTTGGCTACAATGATAAAAATGGCATATCAATTACACAGCAAGTTAATTTGTTTTTGCCAGTCCCCTTCTCATCAAATCATTCTTGCCATATTGAACAATTGTTTCGATTAGTTGAACACTTGGGATATGTTCTCTTTCTAGACACCCCCACTAGATGTAATGCCCCCAGATGTCCTAGTGTCATACACAGGGGAGAGTAGCACCAGTAAGGAAACACTAACTTGAGTGTGGATGCTTATACACACCGAGGCACTGATCACCTGAGTTAACTCTTCACTGAAGACATACCTGGAGTCTATGGCAGAGCTGGGAAGCAAGTTGGTCCCCCTTCCCTTACCCCTAGAGCTCAATCTTTGTGACACTAAGGACTACATTAGAAATTTTCCTGTAATCCAAATCCAATTATACACACACATAGCCACACACCCAACCCTCCAGTGTTTAAGGTAAATAAATACCTTCAATGTATTTCTTGTTCCTGAATCTTCTTTGATCCTAGAGATAAACTTGAACTAAAATCCTGGATTTGAACAATCCTGAACTCTAAGGAAGTCCAGATTCAAATTCCACAGTGAGTCAGACTCACCTCAACTTGATATAGAAACAGAAATTGTTTGAGCTCGTTGACAAGAAAAAGCAACTGTTAACCAGCTTTGTCCTACACCCCGCCTGCAAAAGGAATGCTAGCTGCAGGATGCATTTTCAGACTCTGTGAGCCACAATTATACTTTGGCTTATTCTTTGGTCTCACCTTGCCTCAGAGTTTTAAAGTACTGTATATCTTAATGAGCAGGACGTGGTTCAAGCAGATGACAGGGAGCCAGGCATTCTGGAGTCTATTCCCATTTCTATCTCTGACTCACTATGGGATTGCTTAATCTATACCTCAGTTTACCTAGCTGTAAAGTAGGGATAAGACCTACCTCTCAAAGCAGTATTATGACACTTAATATATAAGTGTTCATAAAAAAACTTGATATGAAGAGTGCCAAGTATTATTCATTCAGATGCTGCCATTGATTAGTAAACACCCTCATTTATCATGCACCTGTACTAAGCAGTATTTAATAGGATCTGCCCTTGTTTAATAGATGCTCCTTTTACTACACAAGCCAAAGGAGAAAGTCAATACATTTAATAGAATCTATGGTTTCTAAATAAAGACATACGGTATCTCATTGTATTTGTTCCTAGACACTTTCCTTTAATCATTAGCTTGTCACAGAATAAATTGAAGAGGAATTAAATTATCACCTCTTTGGAAGCTTTGAGCTTAGTTTAGGAAGATGCGTGTCTGTCTATCCATCTGAAAAATGGAACAGTGTCTTCAGGGTTGAAGTGCTTCTGTTTTATTTTGTAGTTAGATACCAGAGTCTGACAACATGGTCTGTTGTTCCCAAATGTACCGAGTTCAGTATGGAAAATTCCAAATTGTGTATGTTATAGCAACTTCCATCTCTGATGAAATGACCTTAAGGCAGCACATGAATTTGTTTGGGCAAAGCCTGACCTATCGATACCTTGCAGTATCAAAAGCTGTCACTTCTCAGGGAGGAGTCAGAAACAAAACCCCATTTCCATTCACAGCTCAACTTTGAGTGACACCCAAACCTGGAATTGGATCTGAATCAGATTTTTTACAATGAGGCCAATTATCTTTACAATGAGGTGAACCAAAAATCTCAACTTGGAACATCCTTGAATTTTGGGGTGTTTAAGATCCAGATCAGAATTCCAGGTCAGCTCGGGCCCATCTCTTTGATAAATGAAATTACTGTGACACACGTGAAAAAGATTTGCAAACTGACCTCCATTATACTGTTAACACACCTTACAAGGCTCCAAACCTCAAGAGATTGGAATCTGTGGTATATAGCAAAATGCTTCCCTTCATTTTCCTGACTTTTCCACTTGCACGCTGGAAGGTCAATGAAAGCAAGTTGGCTGGTGCTACAAGAACCATACAAAGGAAGTTATTGTAGCTGCTTGTCCAGCACTTAATCACAACCAATGGCAAACGCCAAAGGTTTCAGAGGATCCATCCGGATACCTCTGAGTCTGCAAAGTTGGGCTAGCTGTCTTGCTTGTGGTTGAGCCAAAGATCCTAGGAGAACAGCTTTTCACAGATGTTGGAGATTTCTGCTTCCAACCAGACATGGAAAGAGCAAAGATCTTGTGAAACAATGAGAACAAAAAGGTAACTGAACTTTTTGAAAATTACAAGAGAAAGGTCATTTTGGGTACAGTTTGAGTTCATGGGTTCTTGGCTCGCTCATCCTTCCTTTGATGCCTGAATGTTTGTAAATCAGAAAAATGACTGTTTCTGGATTAACATATCAAAGGATTTTGTTTTGAGTCTTTCCTTTATTTCACCCAGAAAGGGGACAGAATGGTGACTTAGCCTCAAGATTTATTCTCTGTGTCTGTGGTTCAGAGAGGAGCCTGGAGGACAAGATGAGTCAACGCCAGCTCTATGATGTCGATTGACCTACTTTTCCATGAGGAAGACCAGGCTGAGTGACTCGTTTGCAATAAGATAGTGGTAAAGATCTTAATGGCTACAGACTTTGCACTGATCAGCATAAGAATAAGGTCCTGGTATTTTGGTTTTTTTTGAGCATGCGTGGGCTGGATTGGATACTGATCAAATAATGACCTCTTTTCTAGGCAGTGGTTGGCATTCCGGAACAAAGTTTGGTGTACCATGGCCTGTCAGAGACCCTACAGAAGACCTACAAATACACAGTGATGAGAAGAGACCTAGAACTGCTCAACTCCCCATGCTATAAGGCAAGGTGAGTTGATGTCTTGTTCTGTAGTAACTTACAATAGTTTGCCTTGATGGTTCCTGACCCACCTCTAATTGGCCCTGTCCAATAAGGAAGGGTGAAAGAGAGACCAAAGAAGGGAGCATCTCTAGACAGAGCAGCTGTTGGGTAGGAAATAGGGCTGAACTTAGAGGCCAAAGGGTTTTGAGTTCCTTATGGAGAACTGGGTGCCTAACACAATATACTAAATAAAGGGCAACATGGCCCAGCTTAGGGATGGAGTAAACCTTTAAATATTCGTGATCAGTAACAGGACATTGCAACGTTTGTGTCACTACATGGAAAGACAAGATCCCCCTTCCTAGATCCCAGCCGGGATCCCCAAGACCCCCAAGGCACTACCCTTAATCCACTCTGGATGTCCCAAAAGGAGACTGGAACCCTTGGAATGTGGCTGAAGCACTGATACATGTAAAGATGGCTGTTGTTGGGGAAAAAGTTGGTCAGTGGATCTTATTCTATCACAGTTACTCTCAAAATAAGTAAGTAAAAGAAGAACAGCCTCATCTGATGGGCCAAATCCTGCTCATGTGAAGCCAGATTCATTGATTGATTTCAATGGAGTTAGCATTCTGGATGAATTTGATCCATTAATTACAAATCAATTTAAAGGACGGGATTATTCACATAAATAAAGTAAATAGGAGTTGGCCCGATGCCTATATATTCTCCATTCAACTAGCATTTTATACAACAAAATGAGACCGAACTTTAGGAATAGTTTATAAATCATGACTTACAATGTAATTATTCTTGTACCTATGGAAATGGCTTAGTGACGCACTGCATGCATCTCACGGTATTAAGAAAAATATAAAAAAAGACATCTACAGACAGAATACAGATGTCTCAATTACACTAACCTCAGCATCTTGCCTTTACATTGCAGCCTTCATTAGTCACTTTAACTGGATTAAAATAAACATAATTGGTCTACAGTGTAAAACGAATATATATTTTAAGGAAAAAAACCTAGCACCAAATAACTACTTTGGTGGTTCCCCACCCCCTGCCTGTTACTTAAAATATATGAAACTGGTGATATCAGCTATAACCGCATTATCAATTTCCCCAAGGAAGATTTAACCTCAAAAGGCATATATATGATGTCTTGGGTAATATTTTTGGTGATGCACTGCTTCCCAGAGGCACTGAAGTATGTAAACTCTAATTGAAAAGATATATTATGAAGCATCTATATTGGCTTTTGCTTTATGGATGCATTAATGGAAAGAGCAATAATTTGCCCAGAAAACATCTGGTATGATACCATATATAGAAACATTCAGAATATGTCAAATGCACCGTCTTCCTTTACCCCAGTGGGCTTCTTTAGGGAAAGAGGTTAAATTGAGGTTAGCTAACACACACTGACCTAATCACAACCTTTTCCCTACTGTAGATGCAGGTTAACACCCTTTGCCTGAATTTAGCTGGTCAAGGTCCACCTTAGGTGGGAGTCTGGCCTGCTATCACATGCATCTTACCTTTTGGAGTTCTGGGACTCTGCCTTACCCTTATGCATATGCCTGAATGAATGTTTAAATGTACTTGGTATAATACAACAGAAAAGAGAATCTGTTTTCACTTGACATTAAAAGCAATAATAAATAGATTCTAATCCAACCTCCCTTGTCAATTTACTAATGCTTTTAATAGACTCAAAAAAATGGGGCTGGAGAAAATCCCCTTTGATATTGTGTATATGCTAAGACCATCAAGGGAGCAACATGATGCTAAAATACTCCATGATCACGGAAGTTCTAGGTGTTAAACTCCTCACAATTTTATAGCTAAGCCATAGGAGATGCAAGCTCTACTCTCCGCTTTGTCATATTTAATTATGTACTTAATTAAATGTTACATTTTGTTGACACTTATGATATGTAGTAGCTGGTGTCAGCACAGCAAAACAATCTAAAATAAGTACTTAGAATAGTAGTAAAGCAACTGCTAATAATTCAATGATCATTAATTCATTTACTCAGTGTTCTGCTTCCTTATGTAATGTGTGGATGTTCTCTTTGCTTATAAATAATGTATTATGTAAAGAAAAAAGTGTGCATGTGTGTAAATGCAGTGTTGTTTAAAAGGGACTGATTTGATAGCTCTGCAGAATGAGGGGCACCTATCCTACACCATTGAAGCCAATCGCTAAAATCTCATTAGCTTCAGTGGTGTGAGATCAAGCCCATAATCTCTATTTAGAAAAAAGAAAGCACAGACTGCAGTAAGGCAAGCTTGCTCTATGTTGCTCCTCCAATGACTCTCTCAACCTTGGCCATGAGGGTCCATCTCTAGATATGAGAGAGAGGAGTTAATTTTTCATACCCATTCTCTTCTGGGACTGCCCACAAAAATGCCAAGTCCAGCAGTGGTCAAGTAGTATTTCCATCAATTCAAATCTGCTAAGTAATTTCTGTAGCTACTTTGTAAATTATTGTGTAGTCACAGGTAATGAGCAAATCATTAATTTTACTGTGCATCAGAAATTAATATATCCTGTAATTTTTCTCTCTCAGTTTTGGGAGTAGAAGATGCTTCATTTCAGATGAATTCCTGGTAAACCTTAACTGAATTATGGAACAAATGAGCAAACAAATAAGATTTCCAAGCCAACAAACCCACACACCCATTCATATTCAGTATAAATATATATAACTATTATATAATACTCACAATTAGAAATAAACACATAGCCCTACAATGAGATAATATTTTAGCCTCTTTAGAGCAGGCTCATTAAAGTGAAATAATGTTGCAATAACAGGGCACAAGTGTATCATTAACTAGGAGGGTAGTCTGCAGAATGCCAAGAATATCCAGTGCATTTTGTCTGTGAAGAGGGAGCATGAGCTGGGATCTGACCGTTGTGAAAAGTGGCATCTTTTCTTCACGGCACTTTGGGGTTTTGGCATCAGGAGTTTGTGTTTTTAAAATCAGATGCATTTTAGTATTTTAATATTGTATATGTTCCTATGGGGCTCTGTGATCGTATTTGATATGTATATGCTGTCATGTTCAGTCTTCAAACAAAATCTGATCTGATGTAGAGCTGGTGGAGCTATTCATTACAAGCAATATCCATTATAAAAATCTAACCTCTTCTGTTTATAAGGAGCTTGTGCATCAACCCTGTGAATATCTTTTCTTTGCAATACTATGGATGAATAATTTTCAAACTGTGGGCTGTTTGCAAATAGTTTGTCTCATCCATTCACTATTTGTGGTGTGTGGTTGATCTAGTTAAGTCATATGATAATATTTTGGCTCCCTGATTGAATGACTAAATCTTTTAAGCAGGAGAATACTCAATAGTGAAAAATTCACTCCTGGTTGGATCACCATTTGGGCTCAAATTTGTTAAAGATTAGGAGGATTTGCATATATTTTCATGAATATCTGATGCCATCCTAATGTTTACAAATAACTAACACTGACCTCACAGATTAAATGTGACACTTATTAACAAAAATGTTCTTAAACCATTTTTAAACTGTTTGACCATCTGGATTAAGTCCCGACAAACAAGGTGAGCTTCGTTTTTCCCTTCAGTTCGGAAGGGTGGTGCAATATGCAGTCAGAGGTAAAAGGTCTTTTGTTTTGTTTTTAAAGCAAAACCTTTCTCTGATGAAGAATGGCTTTTCAACAAAATCCAAAATTTTGATTCTGTCAAAGTTTTTCTATTTTTGACATACAACAATTGCATTGCATTTACAAATAAAATATTTCATTTCATTTTGACTATCAAAAATGAAAAATGTTTTTTTCAGCACTAAAAAGACAACTCAGTCCATTTCTGTCAGTTCAAGACGCTTCTCAAAGCAGGTCTTATGGACCAAAGTCAGCTCTTACTTCACCCATGAATATCTCTTCCTCATTTGTCTATCTGGCTCAAGTCCACCTGGTTCCTGGGTATTCATCCTGTATTTTTTCCCCATTGATGAATATGCTGATATTTATGGTTGTATTTACACTGGAAAAAATGTTGTACTACTTAAAAACCCTGAAAAGGGGGAAAAAGCTAATTTCTTGCTAGCACATGCTTTGATGTATACCATCCTGTTTGTTTAATATCTAATATTTTGTTCCAGATTATCACTTTATCATCTTATAGCATCTTCCTCATTTTTCTCTGTCCTAGGGACAATAAATTAACGGCAGTAGGCATTTATACTCCAGTAGTTCATTATCTTTGATTGCTAATATTCTCAGTGCCTGGGTCTCATTCCACACCGTCTATGTCCTTTGCTCTCCATTTTTTACATAAGAACATAAGAATGGCCATACTGGGTCAGACCAAAGGTCCATCCAGCCCAGTATCCTGTTTGCCAACAGTGGCCAATGTCAGATGCCCCCGAGGGAATAAACCTAACAGGTAATAATCAAGTGATTTCTCTCCTGCCATCCATCTCCATCCTCTGACAAACAGAGGCTAGGGACACCATTCCTTACCCATCCTGGCTAATAGCCATTAATGGACTTAACCTCCATGAATTTATCTAGTTCTCTTTTAAACCCTGTTATAGTCCTAGCCTTCACAACCTCCTCAGGCAAGGAGTTCCACAGGTTGACTGTGCGCTGTGTGAAGAAGAATTTCCTTTTATTTGTTTTAAATCTTCCGCTCATTAATTTCATTTGGTGGCCCCTAATTCTTATATTATGGGAAGAAGTAAATAACTTTTCCTTACTCACTTTCTCCACACCACTCATGATTTTATAGACCTCTATCATATCCCCCCTTAGTCTCCTCTTTTCCAAGCTGACAAGTCCTAGCCTCTTTAATCTCTCCTCATATGAGACCTGTTCCAAATTCCTAATCATTTTAGTTGTCCTTCTCTGAACCTTTTCTAATGCCAGTATAACTTTTTTGAGATGAGGAGACCACATCTGTATGCAGTATTCAAGATGTGGGCGAACCATGGATTTATAGAAGGGCACTAAGATATTCTCCGTTTTATTCTCTATCCCTTTTTTAATGATTCCTAACATCCCGTTTGCTTTTTTGACTGCCGCTGCACACTGCATGGACGTCTTAAGAGAACTATCCACGATGACTCCAAGATCTCTTTCCTGATTAGTTGTAGCTAAATTAACCCCCATCATATTGTACATATAGTTGGGGTTATTTTTCCCAATGTGCATTACTTTACATTTATCCACATTAAATTTCGTTTGCCATTTTGTAGCCCAATCACTTAGTTTTGAGAAATCTTTTTGAAGTTCTTCACAGTCTGCTTTGGTCTTAACTATCTTGAGCAGTTTAGTATCATCTGCAAACTTTGCCACCTCACTGTTTACCCCTTTCTCCAGATCTTTTATGAATAAGTTGAATAGGATTGGTTCTAGGACTGACCCTTGGGGAACACCACTATTTACCCCTCTCCATTCTGAAAATTTACCATTTATTCCTACCCTTTGTTCCCGGTCTTTTAACCAGTTCTCAATCCATGAAAGGATCTTCCCTCTTATCCCATGAAAAACTTAATTTACATAAGAACCTTTGGTGAGGGACCTTGTCAAAGGCTTTCTGGAAATTTAAGTACACTATGTCCACCAAATCCCCCTTGTCTACATGTTTGTTGACTCCTTCAAAGAACTCTAATAGATTAATAAAACATGATTTCCCTTTACAGAAACCATGTTGACTTTTGCCCAACAATTTATGTTCTTCTATGTGTCTATCAATTTTATTCTTTACTATTATTTCAATTAATTTGCCCGGTACTGACGTTAGAGTTAGCAGTCTGTAATTGCTGGGATCACGACTAGAGCCCTTTTAAAATATTGGTGTTGCATTAGCTATCTTCCAGTCATTGGGTACAGAAGCCGATTTAAAGGACAGGTTACAAACCATAGTTAATAGTTTCGCAATTTCATATTTGAGTTCTTTCAGAACTCTTGGGTGAATGCCATCTGGACCCAGTGTCTTGTTACTGTTAAGTTTATCAATTAATTCCAAAACCTCCTCTAATGACATTTCAATCTGTGACAATTCCTCATATTTGTCACCTACCAGATTTCCACAACAATGTCAAAGAAGATCATTCAACTAATAAAATGTGTGTGTGTGTTTAATTCTTATTTTACCTCTAATTCAAGGGAGCCTCAAGCTATCAGACATAAGTTAGGGTATTACCCTCATTTGTCTTCCTCTGATAGAAGTGTAATCGCATTTCCATGGAGGAACTTTTTCAAATATTGTTCAGTTTTCCAATATAGTATAACCTTGATATGAAACTCTGTCATCTAAACGGGGTTGTCTCCCCCAAATCTATTCATATACAAGACAGATCTCTGAGTTTGTGGCTTAAACCTGTTATAGATCTGAATCTGAAGACCTGGAGATTTGAAAAAATACAAATTTGGATCCAATTTGCATTTTGTCTGTTTGAATCTAACTGTTGCTCTTTCTTCCATAGGTAGATGAGCAGGAGGGAAGGCACAGGGGAAGTACCGGGACTGCAAGGAATCTTTGCTTTCTCCTTGTACATCTGACTCACGGGCCAGCCATAACTGTAGTCTTTGAACTCTGAGCACACAGATATTGCTCCCTGCAAGTGCATCAGTATATACACCCTCCCTCTCCTCAAATGTTGTTGGAAAAAGGCAGAGCCTGGATTCCTTCTGGATCTGGAGAGCACATGCAGCATCTTCTTATGAGGTGATACCAATGGCACACAGAAGGATTGTGCCTTTCTGGGAAGCACTGTACATCCCTGAGGCACAGTGTTTCCTGGAGCTCTTGATGTGGTGGCCCAGTCTCAACCCCTCTCCCCAATCAACCCTCCCACACATACACACTTCAGGGCTGTGTCTGAATGGCACCCACAGGCATAGGAAACTTGGATCTGGATCCAGAATTCAGAGACAGAGGTTCTGGTTTGGCCACATTTTGATTTTTGATGAAGAGAGAAATCTCTCTGTTTTACTTGGGATATAACAAACAGATACAGTAGAACTTCACTAATCTGCAAACCCAGTCATTTTAACCAAAAATCTAGTTGTCTCATCTGCCTTCTTAGCAAAGATTTAACGGCAGGGATAGCACTGGAGCAAGATCTATTACTAATATTTCACTACAAAATATATTGCTGTACATTTGCTGGTAGAATATATTACGAAGTATCATAAATAATTAAAAATTAATCATACTTGTCAAAATAAATGAATACTTTCTGTGATGCAGTATTCCTGAATATTTTATGGCATTTATTTTCTTATTCATGAATTACAAAAAATGTGGTAGCCCACAACAGGTTACCTAGTCACTAACATGCATATGGGCCTGATCCTGACTCCAGCAAAGTCAGTGCAAGTCTTTCCCATTGTCTTCAGTGGACTTTGAATCAGGCTCCTACTGAAATTTAAATATAATAAGGCTCTGAACCTGCAAAGACTTACACATAAACTTTAAGAATGTGAACATCCCATTGGCTTCAATGGAGCTAGTTGCTTGGGAGAAATTAAGCATATATATAACACTTTGCAGGATAAGGGCCTAAAGTGGCAGATTCACAACTTATTGCATTGTCTTGGACATAGCTGATTGATCCACTAACTGGGGGAGGGGGGAACCTTTAGTGAAAAGCTTGCTGTATAACTGTAATGCACCACGGTTATTCCCTAATACATACACTGAAAGGTGCCTCATTTACAAATATCCACTAGTTTTCTGTAGCAAGAGTATACCATTCAGGTGGTTTTAATAATGTAATAATTAATATCATTGAATAATTACTAGCACCTTTTTTCTGTGAATCTCAACGTTTTCAAAATGTATATAAATGCTATTACCTCCATTTTTCAAAAGGGGATACTAGGGTTGCGAGAAGTTTATCCAAATTCATACACTGAGTCTAAGTCACAGCTGGGAATATTGCTTCTCAGTGTCAAATATTATCAGTGAATTTCTACTAATCTTTATACATAAAGGGAGGATAATGGAAGCAGGCTTGGGGTATTTGTCTTGATTAATAGGAAATTCACTTGACATGACTTGATAGTCAAGTGACAAGGATGAGTTAAAATGACTCAAAATCGGGTTATGCTATCTGCTTATTTACTTCTGTTCATTACAGTTCATGAATGGAGATGAAATGGGACTCGCATAATTGGAAGTACGCCGTGCAGGAAACAAACAGTGGGGGTTGGAATTACTGTGCTTAGTTATTTCAGATTGAAACAGACCACACAAAATGTCTCTGTGCCAAGCAGCTGTAATTAAAGTGATGTAAAATAGAAACCTATGAGTGTAGAATTTTCAAATCCATCTTCATATGCAAAAGAAGTTACAGTCATTTGGGAACTGCAAGGCTTTTCAGGAGGTGCTGCAAGGGCTTGAGTCACCACAAAATGAATTATTGACTACCCGCAATTTGTCTATTTGTTTAAAAACCCCAAACAAATCCAAGTCTGACTCCATCGACTGCACAGGCTCCTACTCTAGTCCCCTCCCCATGTCAGCCGAATGACTTCATTATCCCTCTAGCTCAGGTTGGGCTTTAAACCTCAGTCCAACATTGAAACATTTACACCAGAATAAAAACAAATCCTTGAAAGACCAATTACTAATTATTCAAAGCTTAATGATCACAGAAGCAGGATCCAGAACACATTCACAGATAGAGAATTTACTCCCTTGAAAACTACACTGACGACATGAGGGCCAGGATTTCACCCAAGGGTGAAACGCCCATTGACTTCTATGGGTATGTCTACATTGCAATTAGACACCTGTGACTGGCCTGCGCCAGCTGGCTTGGGCTTCTGGGGCTTGGGCTAAGGGGCTGCTCAACTACGATATAGATGTTGGAGCTCGGGTTGCAGCCCAAGCTCTGGGACCCTCCCATCTCACAGGGTCCTAGAGCCCAGCCTGCGGCCCAAGTCCGAACATCTATACTGCAATTAAACAGGCCATTAGCCTGAGTCAGCTGGCACCGGCCAGCCATGAGTTTTTAATTGCAGTGTAGACATACCCTAAAAAGGCCAGGATTTCACCCACTGAGTTTAAACTCTTTTCTCATGGTTTCAAGGCCCTCTCTATATCTTGGACTTATCCTACTGGGTTCCTTCATTCTCTCGCTACTCCACCAACTATTCCAGCCTCATCACACCTCCCCATTTCTGTCTCCATGCCTTCCTCCCCACTGCCCTTTCAGTATGGAACCTCCTCTCACAGCAGGTCACCAAGCAACCACCCTTCTCATTCTAAGTCCCATTCAGCCAGAATTTCCATAAGAAGTGAAAGGAGAAGACTTAAATATTTAACACCTTCATGTAAAGCATCCCATTTCTGGTTTACCCAATGCAGAGATGTACAGGATGCAGAGATGTACATCTCTCTCTGATGCAGGGACTTTATTTTGTGCATCGCACTTAGCTAGGCTACTTCAATTGCTCTCATTACTGCTATTCTTCCTTCTCTTCTCCCCCCTTCCTTCCTATTGTTTCTTACAATCAAATTTAAGACAAAATGCAATGAACATAAGCTTCATCATCCTATGTGTTTGTACGGTGTCTAGCACAATGGGGTCCTGATCCTGACATTTCTTTCATCAGTCCAGTCTTTCTACCCATCCATGATAAATTTCTTAAATCAATGCGATAACTCAACATGAGTAAGGTTGAAGGAACAGGCACTAAAAGCTGATGCATAAAGAATACTTTTTGGGAAGCACATGGGAAAGCATAGTACATGGTGAAGATAGAAGAAATAAAGATGTCTTTCTGAGACTAATACAGAGTGAGGTTGCAGAGGAAACTTTCCCCAACATTTATTTGGATGTGTCCCTACTTTCCTCTCCCATTTGTGGTTCCAGCCACTTAAATGACACCCTGACTTTTAGCAGGGGCAGTTTTCAAGCAGGTACCCACAACAGGTAGAAGGGGGGGGGGGGGATTTGCCGTTACTCTTTTAGGATTAACAAGGCAAAGTGCAGCTTGCTGATCCTTTTGTCATTTATAATCTGAATGAAATATGCTGCTGTTGTCAGGTTTGATTAAAAGCAGAATTAAAAAAATACCCAAGAAGGTCAAAGAAGCCATCTTTGATTCAAAAGAGGGAGAAAAGAAAACTTACATACTTTTTACTTTTCCTACTTCTAGATCTCTTTATTTAAATATACATTGCTTTACTGATGATAATGTCAAATGCTTAGTCTTTATTTTCTCTCTAAATAGCTTTGATGGAAAAATCTTAAATCCTGACAAGAAATTTGTCTGCACTGGCTTACAAGTAAGACATCTATGCCTAGGGTTTAGCAATGGACAATAATGCAGAACACATGGATTTTATTCTCTGCTCTTCTACTGACTCACAGAATGACTTTGAGCACATCAAACTCCATGCGCCTCAGTATACCCAGGGTGATGCGAAGCAGAATTCATCCTTTCTCCTCCACCAATAACCTCAGAGGAAAGATGCTATAGATGTGTAAAATATTATTATTCAACTCCAAGTGCAACGTCCAGAGTCCAGTCTGGTTCAGATTTTTACAATCCCAAAGCGGATTTCAATCCAGTCTTATTTTGCTTCCTACAGACAGAGCAATTCCCTTAAGTTCACTTGTTGCTTGACACAGAGAAAGGAACAGAATTGCCCCAAACATTGTATAGGGTGTGGTATCTACAAGCACACCACCATTATTTTAAGGAGACTAAATACACTTGCTCATCCTACCTCTTGGTGAATCCTCAGAGTGATCTCTCTTTGGTCCATCCAAAAAGTTTAGCTCCTCTGCACTCACTCTGTGCCAGGTCCTGTTGTGGTTTTCTTTGTCCTTCAGTGGAGGAGAATATTCCAGCTCACAAGGCAATTCAAAATTGCAGTCAAACACTGTTACAGGAAAAGAGACAGTACATACAGGATTAATAAAATCCAACTTCTCCCCTCCTAATCAGTCATATTTCTTACTAAGTTAGGACTAATAAGTTAGGACTTATTTGTAGTCATGTTTCTCCTTGCATTTTACTCCCTTTCCAAATAAAAAGGACACAGGTAAGTTCAGATCAGAACAAATGATAGACAGGAGAGGAGTTCAGAATAAACCAAACTCTAAAGCTGCCTTGTGGGGTGAACAGAGCAGCAGCAAACCAAGAGGAAGGGCCAGAGGCCACCACATCTCTTAGGGGGAAAGAGGGCCAGCAAAGATTTTAAAGCAGGAAAAAAAATGATCTAAAGCGGGGTAGTCAACAGACTGCCTGCGGGCCAAATCCAGACCACCAGACGCTTTTGAAGAGACTCCAAAATTATTTACTTATTATCATTATTGTTGTTATTTTTTATTATTTGCTCTGGAGTCTGGAACTTGACTATACCTTGACCAAGAAATTTGGACTTTGACAAAAAAAATAATTGACTACCCCTGATTAGAGAAAGGTGACTGGATATCTCAGAGATTGAGGGAAATTGGATATAGAGCTTTTCTATTATAGGATGTCAGTTCAAATTCCGCCCAAGTCAATAGAAACTCATTACAATCTGAAGACTGTTCAGTGGTCTATGAATTACTGGTCTCAGACCAGCTCCTGGAGGACAGGGGTTCTGCAACTCACCAACCGTGAGCACAACTGCTATATTGTATGGCAGTCTCAAAAGAGAGTCCTGGGGTTAAATGGCTCATTGGTGACTGAAGTGACCTTTCACTCATAAAAGTGGCCCTTCAAGGTGAGGCACATTAGTGCAGCAGTGGAAGCTTGATTTGCTGCTGAGTGTCCTGTGGACAGTGGGACTTCAACCACCAAAGCTCGCTACCCACACCTTTTACCAGCACCAAGTTCTCTTTTCTTTTCACTTTTCTAAAGATGCTGGTGCAATTAAGATTCCCTTCTCGGAAGACAGTATTTTCACCATCACATTATGGAGTAAAGTTGTCCAAGACAACATACAGTAACATGTTGAATTCATCTCCAACTACTATGTCCAATGATTTTTCCTCCTTTATTTTTTGAAAGCCCCTAGTATGTTGACTTCCCCAGCCTTGGTCTGCAGTTAACAGTCCACAGATTTTGGATGAGACTTGTGCTTCTGAATAAACTCGGGGCCAGATTTATAAAGATGTGTATGTGCCTAAAGATAGAGACAGGCACCTAATGGGATTTTCCAAGCATCTAGGAACCAAACTCCCTTTTGAAAAATCCCACAAGGCATTTATCTGCATGTTTAGGTGCCTAAATACCTTTAAAAACTGGCCCTTAGATATTTTTGAAAAGCCTACACTTAAGGCCCTTTTGGAGGAAAATGCAGTTCTCTGGAGATTTTCTTTAGTATCCACTCTCATGCCACTATTGTGAGATTAAAACAAATAATTTAAATTGACATTAGTCAAACTAAGATTTTTTTTAAACTTCAATTACATTCTCTGTTAAGCACCTCATTTCTTCCTAGACTGCATATATTTATGCAGTTCAGACAATTCTCCTGCTGATATAACATCTTTTAATCCTAAAGTTAATACTATTGCCTTTTCTCTATACTTTCAGATAATTCACCTCTTTAATGAGGAAATGGAATCAGCGAGCTCTAGTGTTTGTTTTTTGTTTTTTTTTACATTCTACTTTCTAATCATGTATTTTGTCAATTCCTTTGTCACACCACGGAGATAATAAATGTAACAAATCGATGGACATGCATAACACACAGTAGCAGCAAGGATAGAACTCAAGTCTTTCTATTGCAAATGTGTTGACTCTATCTCTAGAGTTAGAGGATAACATTTTAGCAATATAAAGGTTATGATTAAGGTTACAATTTAGTCACGGAGGTCGTGACTTCCAGTGATCTCCGTGACTTCAGCCTGCAGTGGTCAGGATCTGCAGGGTCCCCCACCACCCACAGGGGCAGGGAGCTGCGGGGTACCCACACCACCTCTGATAGGCTCTGGAGCTCCAAGCCGCTGCGGGGTACCCCAGAGCTCCCATCGGCCACAGGTGGCGGAAGCCCCTGGAGCTGCCAGTGGTGGGGGAACCCCCAGAGCTCCTGGCCTCCTTGAGCAGCAGGGAACCCCACAGCCCCCAGCTACTGCAGAGAGCTCCTAGCCCCTGCGCAGCTGCCCACTTCAGACAGCATGGGAACCCACAGATCCCCATTTTGTCATGGATATTTTTAGTAAAAGTCACAGACAGGTCATCGCTTCTGTTAGTTTTTCTTTTTTACCCGGGACCTATCCGTGACTTTTACTAAAAATATCCATGACAAAGTTTTAGCCTTAATTATGATATAGTAGAGCAGATTTGATTCCACCCAGCAGGGGGATGCTGTTCCACATACATGCTACCCAGTGTTTACAACACTGCCACCAAACTTTCTTAATTTCCTGACATTGTTTTCCATTCTTCAGGATTTACTAAAAATCTATAAAGTGCAAGAGTCTCTTCAGTTTTGTGCCAGCACACAAAAAGACATAAGAAGAGCCAAACAGCTTTGATTTAATATTAGTCCTGCCTATGATTTAATATTAGTCCTGCCTATGCCAACACGAATCAAAGGAGAGAGATTTAAAAGCATGTGACTTTTTGGTGAGCTGGTTCTGAACTCGTCCTTTTCCATCAATCTAAACTATTTATCACTACCAACATTTGTATATGCCCCACCAGAATAGTTACTGGGGGCACCATATTTATTTAGAATACCATATACATTTGTAATTTGTATTATGGCATCTCCAAAAGCCCCAACCAGAATCAAGGTTCCATTGTGCGAAGTGCTGTACAAACACATTGCAAGATCCCTGCTCTTTAGTGTCTACAGTCTAAGACTCCAATCATGAAAGGCACATACATAAGTATTAACTGTACACATAAATAGTCCCATAGAACTTTAATGGGACTTCTCACATGTGTGAAGTTACCCTCCTGTCTAAATGCTCCCAGGCTCAATGCCTAATTTGAGACAAAATGCAAGGTATAAGCATAGGAGACAATAGGCGGAAGGAGGACATGGATGACACTATTACATATGTATTTCATGTGTCTTGCATATTTTGTATATCATCATCTGCCTTTTCCATTCCCCCACTTCCCAGCATTTACATTATAAATCTCCCTTTAAAAGCATGCATAGCTTGGCCAATAACTGTAAAGAGCTGACCCGTAACTGAAACTCATCATGAAATGAAAAAAAAACTTTGGCTTTCTAATGTTAGAAGGTCAAAACTGACCCCATTGGGTGGCCCAGGCCAGAAAGGATGCATGGAAAGGACAGCCATTAAATTAACTGGTCCATGCTCCCTCACCCATCTTCTCTTTCACACTATCAAGACATAACCACCTGCCTCCACTGTGCTAGTGATATCACCCTTCATCTCTCATTTGTTACAATTTTCAAACAAGGACCTTTGTGTTTTCTCTCATGCCACCCCTCAAGCACAGAAGCAGCTCCCTCTAAATATCCGCAAAGCCATCTCATTGTCTTCCTTCAAACCCTCCCCTACTGGGATGCCTACAGAAACTTGACACCAGCTAGGCTGCTGGTCTGCCGAAACCTCTGTTTATGCTGTTCAGTTTTATCTTATTGTTTCCTTATGTTCCCCATCTGTCTGTAATCACCTGTTGCCTTCTGTTTTCTAGTTAGACTGTAAGCGCCTCAGGACAGAAACTGCCTTTGTTTTCAAGTATCAGAGGGGTAGCCGTGTTAGTCTGAATCTGTAAAAAGCAACAGAGGGTCCTGTGGCACCTTTGAGACTAACAGAAGTATTGGGAGCATAAGCTTTCGTGGGTAGGAACCTCACTTCTTCAGATGCAAGGTTCTTACCCACGAAAGCTTATGCTCCCAATACTTCTGTTAGTCTCAAAGGTGCCACAGGACCCTCTGTTGCCTTAGTTTTGTGTTTGTAAAGCACCTAGTACAGTGAAACCCTGGTCTATGACTGAGGTATCCAAGCACTCCAGTAATACAACTCAACAAGAAACAAATATCTCCTCAGTAGTGTGCCCCTCATGGCAATTAAAGCTGCCTGTCTGCAATGGGAACCCAGAGGAAAGGCTGGGGATGACTAGGACACCTGTCTGCCCTCGTGTTGAATCCCATGGGGCGCAGGGAGGTGTGTAACATATACCTACTTGGATCAGCCTGGCTGAATGCAGCTCAGAACAACATTTAAAATAGATCATTTTGCATAGGAAGATGCTGTATTTGACTCATATACACCTTTAAAAAATGTCTGATTTGATTAAGCATTCATATCTATTTAGGGGACTTATACACGCATTATCACGATAGTATCTGACCACTTCACAAGCTTTAATTAATTTATTCTCACAACACCCTCGTGCACTAGGGAAGTACTAACTTTTCTGCAGGTTAGGAAATGAGGGCATGGGGATTAAGTGATTTGCTAAAGGTCACACAGGAAGACGGTGGTATTGAAATTAAAATCAAAAGTATTGAGGAAATTGAAAACAAATCTCCCCAGTCCCAGGCCAACAACCTAATCACAGGACCATTCTTCCTCTCAAATGAAGTTAATGCTCAGTCCACAATGTAGAGTAAATGATTTTCATATATATTATATGTAAGCTCATTTACAAGCTCTTCTTGAGTTATAAGGAACCTTCTTTGGTAGCTGCTGCAGGACAATACCACATCTACAAGCATAAGGCTCCTTATAACATCTAAGAATCCGTTCCTTCCACAAATTGCTTCCTTCCACAAATACAAATTTACTGGTCAATTTTTAATGCACCCACAACAGGTCTTTCACCTCCCTTTTCTGATCTTTGTCTTATGTTGAAATCCTACACAATTCTCTCTGTGTGTTTAGCAGTGTAGGAAAATAACTGTTTGCTTTTGAAGTTAATTTGATTAAATAAGCCATCATTTTCCTTTTTCAAATAAAC